AGAGAAAAGATACTGCAATAATGTTAGTGCGTACATGTATATTACTCTCACACGCATGAAAGAGACAAAGGTAGTACGATTATGTCTGTCCTTGTCACGTAAGATTGCAACTCCGTCTATCGCGACATCACGCAACTAATCTACTGCTCTGTTTTACTCTTGAGCCTCGATCTCGCACACACACATATGCACGAAAGTGTAGGATCGTAAAATCTTTTTTCTAAAGCTTCTAAACTCACTTCTCTAAGTTCACTTATACTCTTTGATGAAATGCCGAGTGCGAGGTTTACTGATTAGGCACGTACAGATTACAAATTTGTTATATTAAGTAAATGTGACGGCAGAAGCCGATAACAAAACTGTAATTTTCTCATTTTTTTTTAACTTTTCATATGAAATGTTAAACTCCGCACTCCGTTATTATGTGTACCTTAATTGTGGAAAAGGATTTGTTGATATCTTTAATCAACAAAAAGATTTTGCAATCCTACTAATATTCGCATTCTGTCGGTAATCCGGCATCCTCTTAATAATATCGGAACAAAAATTTCTTCGTTGTGATTGGTCAATTAAACGTTTTCAGCACTTTAAGCGCCAAAACGAAAGCGGTCAGTGGATATTACTAGCGAAGAAACCAAACGGCACTATCCAGTGCCCATTTTTAAAATACTAGAGCGTTCTCAGGAACTTTCTCGCTTCGCAAACGGTACTTTTCAGTACCATTACGGAACCAATCGGCGCTTTTCAGTGCCTATTACGGAATCAATCGGCCCTTTTCGTTGCCCAAATCGAAATTAAATAGTACTTCTCACTGCTTATTAATATATTTTTCACTCTTTTACATATTAGCACTTTCCCGTGCTGATATGTTAAAGTAACGGTCGTCATTAATATGAATTTGGTCTTTTTTATGTTTTATATAGGCTTCGGAGGCAACGAAGAATCTCTACGGAGCAAGCAACAATCTCAGATTTTTAATTTATTTAAAATATATAAATTTTAAAGTTAAAAATAGTTTGTGTTGGATAAGTATTGTTTTAATTATAAAATAATTTAAAAACTTTAAAAAGTGGTGAATGTTATGCTATAATTATGTATATTTTTGTATACAAGGATCTGCTCGATTTCTACCGCCAATCTGCCGTCAGATTTGTTGACAGATCTGCTCGGTTTCTGTCGCCAATCTACCATTATAAAGTATTCTGCAGATTTGCTCGATTTTTGCCGCCAATTAATCATTAGATTATATTTGACAGATCTGTTCGATTTCTGTCGCCAATTTGTTATCAGATTTGTTGACAGACTTGCTCGATTTCTGCCACCTATCTGTTGTCAGGTTATGTCTGCAGGACCTGTTACAATTCTGCTAACAGTCTGTCGACGTAATTGAAATTAACAGACTCTGTACTAAATTTGTAACCTTTCTGCTCACAAAAATTTATAGCAGACATTTGGCAAAATCTGTTTAAACAGCCTTGGCTGTCTGGGTAGGCGCTAAACGTGCGAGAACCGACATACGCAGTACACAGAATCCGAATCTCCAGAGAGACGACACACGGTTTATGAAACGCGAGACAATGTCCCAATCCGCGGAAACCGATACTCTCGAGGCCCCGGGGTTCGAATCGCTTGACGACGTGGCCGTGACGCGAAAATCTACACCAAAGAATCGGGCTTAGCCCGTACACCAGAGTACGAATTCACGGCGACGACGGCAGAACGAAACAATTCCCGGGCGTGATCGCGCGTGGCTAAACTGGCGGAGGATAACCTCACCGGTACTATTCCTCCTGCAGGGCTGCACGGGGTCGACGACGTCCTCTCGCTCCACAGTTTGTCCGCCGGAGATCGCCGGGATCCTCTCCGTCCACAGCCGCAATCGCTCTCGCCGACAAAAGTTCTCTCGCTCTCTGAGTGCTCTCGCAAAACGCTTGCTCGCACTCGCAGGCTCGCGCCAGTCTGACCCGGGATCGTCGCGATCCAGAAGCGATAGCTGTGGGCCAGTCGGGGCTGCGCACACGGGGTGCGTATTATCGCGACCAATCACGCGTTATCACTCGCTGTGGCGGGCGGGCGGCGCGCTCACGATCATATTAGGGGTGCGTGCGCTCTCGTTATCGCAAATAATATTTTGCTGGGGCTGCTCAGCGGGGCCGTTGCAGGGTCTAGATCGTACGGCTTGGCCGGAAGTAGGATTACGTTCCTCGCGGCCGTCTTTTCCTGCGGGCCGCGTCCCGCAGCGGCAGCATCCCTGCAGTACCTCCTCGGGGAGCGGCTCCGCACGGTCCTGGGTTCTTGCGCGAGGATTCGCTCGTTGTTTCGTGCGTCGCACATCACGCGTGCACCTCCTGATCTCGTCGCGACGTTGAAATATTTCCGCTGCTTGTTTATATGGGCGAAATGCTGGCTCATCTCCCCTCGAAGGTCGCTCAGGTTTTATAAGAGATGCTTCCGAACGTCGAACTTCGATCTCTCGCCTTCTCCTCCAATGAGGCTCCCAAATTAATTATTCATAAAGTAAAAGAAATAATAACGAAATTAATATCGGAACAAAATCTCGGTTAAAAACGCCTCTCTGGAGACTACGGTACGGTTCTCGCAATTTTTCGACTGGCGCGGTCCTTTTGCCCGCGTTTTGCGATCGGAGAGGGATTCGGCGGACGCGCGCGAGACGGCAACGTCACAGCCTATATTAATGGAGTAAACTAAAGGGTTGATGTGTTTTTTGGTGACCAAAGAAGATTTAGAAGGTGAAACTGTAAGACCTTTAGAAGAGAGAAATTTAAAAGCTTTGTTCGCTGATTGTTCTAGTGCAAGAAGAGCATTCTCTATCTTGTTAGAGCTGACGAAAATGGCAATATCATCTGCAAATTGGACGAGATCACATTCCTCCTCAATGTGTTTATAAAGTTTGGCTACATAAATATTAAAAAGAACGGGACTAAGGATAGAACCTTGTGGTACGTCTTTATAGGAACAGTATTCTTCTGTGAGTTCGCCATTGACGACAAATTGAAGTCTGCGAGAGTGGATGAGATTATAGACGAAGCGACATATGCAGGGGGTAAGCCCAGCTCCTCCAGGTCGGAGATAAGGATAGCGGGAATAACATCGTCAAAAGCATTTGATGAGTGGCACCCGTTCGACCACGTTAATATTGACCACGGTCCCAATTGACCACGTTGAGATTGACCACGTTGCGATTGACCACGTCGATATTGACCACGGTCCCGATTGACCACGGTCCCGATTGACCACGTTAATATTGACCACGGTCCCGATTGACCACGGTCTCGATTGACCACGTTGATATTGACCACGGTTCCTATTGACCACGTTAATATTGAGCACGTCCGATTGACCACGGTCCCGATTGACCACGTTAATATTGACCACGGTCCCGATTGACCACGGTCTCGATTGACCACGTTGATATTGACCACGGTTCTGATTGACCACGTTGAGATTGACCACGTTGATATTCACCACGGTCCCGACTGACCACGTTGATATTGACCACGGTTCCGATTGAAAAACCATGTAACACACACACCCACACATGCGGGGGGGTGCAAGGGGGGCCTTCGCCCCCCCTAGTATATGCGTGGACACAGTTGGTTCCGCCCTCCCCCCTACGGGGTGCTCCACTTCCGGAAGATATAACCTAACCCAAACCTATTTCTGATTTAAAACTATAATTTATGTGGGCAAATGAACTGTGCTCAAAAGAAATGTGCGCAAAAGAAATATGCGCAAAAGAAATGTGCGCAAAAGAAATGTGCGCAAAAGAACTGTGCGCAAAAAAACTGTGTGCAAACGAAATGTGTGTAAACGAACTGTAACAAACACGGGACGCTCCCCATTTGATAAGTCTAAAAAGAGACAAGCAGTGGCCGTGCCGCGAGTGAAACTTGTATGTATTTCAGTTGTGAGGATGGATAAATTATCAAGGCAAGAACGGTATTTG